AAAGATGTAATAATGTATATTCCGCGTGCTCCGTCAAAGTTCAAATTGAGAGGGCCAGCAAAATCAAATAACGTCACCCCATACTTTTCCACTTAATCTTAAATTGGAATTTTCAGTGCAAAAAGTTGAACAAATTAAATCTTAATCTGATGATAGCAACTGATCTTTGTTTAATCTGCTTAATTAAAAGGTTTTTTATTTTTTTATTCTATCCCCATCAAACCACAACAATATTTTTTGAATATGGTTTCTGAAAGCAAAATAAATTTAGAAGCTTGAGAATGCGTACATTCCAAATTGCCTTCAGCACAAGCGGATGAAATAGAAGTGCGATTTACTTCACACACACCTACACAATAATAATAATAATAATAATCAAAATTAATTTCTTTTATACAAGCTCTTAAAAGAAATAGATGGTGGCAACCTCATTTTTGACATTATTATTTATATTTTCTACTAATCTCGGACTTCTATTTTTGTTTTCTTCTGTACAAATGTTTTTGCTTGTTAATCCGAATTTTTTTACCATTGCACCAAATAGAAATAATAGCTGAACGACATTGAAGCCCATCTTTCATAGAAGGGAGTGGAGGTGGGAGGGATCCAGCATTTTTCCTTTTTTTGTCAAAGGGAGGAGAAGAAGATGGATAAGGCATCTTACTAGCTATTTCACTAATTAAAAAATGGTATAAATGAAACTTAAGTTATAAATGGAAAAAATTTAAGGTTTAATATAGGAAGTACGGATAATTGTATTAGAGCGCCGTACTCGTATAGTATACGTGTTGGATGTTGATATTTCTCGGATACTTGCAAATACGTTAATGTATTCATAATTTTAAAATATATTTTTCAATTTGTAAAACACATATGATACTTCTCAATACGTTAATGTATTCATAATTTTAAAATATATTTTTTAATTTGTAAAACACATATGATACTTCTCAAATATATCTCCGATATTTCGAATGTTTATTCAATATTTCTTATTTATACTTCGTAATATATTTTTAACAAGTTAAAATGTAATCCCAGACTTAGGGCTAAGGAAGCACCTAAGTCCAGCAAGAAACCCGTTGAGCCATATCCGATGTAGATAAAAGTCAATCATCTTCTTTTCCTCATCTTGACCAACTAGTCCCGTTAATTGTGTGTGACAGAAGAAGCAGAGTGATATATATAGAGAAATTATTATTGTAAAAAATTAAATAGATCATGTACTCCCTCCGTCTCACAATAATTGTTCATCTTATTTTTTGAATTATTCCAAAATATTTATTCACTTGTCAAGCTTAAATAACGTATTTCATATCTTTTCATGAAATACTCTTAAAATTTTAAAAAATTTTAAATTTGATTATATATATATTTAAACTTAAAAAGGTTGTTTTGTAATTTTTAAAAGAAGAATGTAAGAATTACATATCCCTTTAAAAAACATCTAATATAGGATATAGAATGGAGGGAATAATAATATATGAATATCTAGTTCAGTCAGATCCTAAAATTTTCACATCACATCAAATGAAAAGAATAATACCATTAAAAATAAAACTGCATGCAAGTTTTAAGTCAATACACCATAAAGAATAGTCAAAATGTGACACAAGTATGCTTTATTTGACATAAAAGCCAGCTCATGTTTTTGCATATTGAATGAAAAGTAAATGCCAAAACAAGATACATGAGGTGACATTAATTGGTTTGGAACTTAGAAACCGTCAAAAAAATTAAAAATAAAATAAAATAAAATAAAATGAAGAAGAAGAAGAAGAAGAAGAAGAAGAAGAAGAAGAAGAAGAAGAAGAGGAGGTTGGCACTTAGAAACCGTCTTCTAATAAGATTTCTTTATATATGGGAGTCTTTTTATACCGTCAACTTTCCAGACTGTCCTACTAGCGGGAGGGAAGGAAAAAATGGAAGGAAGAGAGGGAATGTCTGTCGTGGTGTGTCTTCTTCCATCCACTCATTCTTCGAAATGTAATTCAGTGCAAAGTGATCCAATCCACAAATGAACTACTTTTTTTATGATGTATCTATCATTCAAGAATTGGCAGAACCTCAAATCAAGCTGCAATTTTTTATGTGCGGAAAGAGAGAAAATGTGTATTTTGTGTAGAACCAAAGATGTTATTTGGTCCATTAAAATTAATTAGAAGATTAAATTGGTAATTTTATATTTTTATGGATCAATTCACAAGTCAAAAGTCATTTTGATTATTTTATTATGTGTCAGGGTAATTAAGAGTAACTTCGTCAAGCGAAACAAATTTAAAGAAATGTCATTGTCAAAAAAAATGCATAAGGTTGTATCCGAATGTCAATAGGCATAGAGATTCATAATATTTTATTACATTGACCAAAACTTAATTTTTTATATATAAAAATGTCTTCTTCTTTTTTTTATTGCTTATCATACCCACTCAGAGGTCTTTAGAATGAAAAGCAAGACATGCCCCCGTTTTTTATAAATAAAACAAAGCAATAATACACAAAGGAAACGTTGGTTGCTCAACTGGGATCAAGGTTCGATTCAGTGATATCTTTTTTATTTTTTAAAGTAAAAGGTATATAAGTGATATGTGTGAGTTTTTTGTCCAAAAATAAAAACTCCATGCATGGGACAATGGCTCAATTTCAACACTAAGAACCCGTTTGGGGTTGTTGTTGGAATAAAAAAAAGTGCTTCAATTAGAGTAGAGTTGTCCAAGAATTGCGATCATTAAAAAATATGTTTGGTGTCATATTATAATAAATAATTTTCAAAATTAAATAATTTTTTAATTTATTTGATAACAATATTTGTTTAAACACTTTTATTATTAATTTTACAATAATATCCTTTAATTGAATGTTACTATATTTGATAATAACAACTTTATTAAAGAAATAATTTAATTGTCTTTATAAAAAATAAAAAGAATAAAATTGTCTAATGAAAAAGAGTTATAAAAAATATTCAATCTAAATTCTAGATTCAAAACGCTCTAAAAAGGTTAATTTGGTAACCACCAAAAATAGAAAAACAATCCAAAATGAGCTCTTAGAAAACCTTTGGTTAGTGAGAAGGGGCATTAAATAATATATATTAATTTGATCTAAAGAATACAAGGCTATGTTGAGTTGGATAGAATTGAAATTGATAAAATTAGAAAAAATTATAGTTCAAAGTTATATCAAAAATTTTAGTCAATTCCAATTTCAAGGCTCAAATTTCATCCAACCAAAATGTTTTATGGATTTAAACGGCATGTTTGAATGCTATAATCCTTTGTTGACCTAAATTGTAGTAGTTTATATTATTCAAAATACCATTGCTAAAAATGGTTTAATCTCCGATTTAAAAACCTACACACTCAATATCTTATTACCAGAATTTTTATTTGTCATTTTTTTACCAGAATTTGAAAAATGAAAGTTCCACACTCAATATCATATGCAGGCACACTTGGTTGATTTTATCTAATGCACGTAACCACATGAAAATTCGTACACAAAAACAAGAATATATATATAGAATTCATATCACAAAACTAACAAGGAAAGGAAGAGTACAGAGATGTGAAAAAAATATGACATACCTATCAATTATTTGAAAAAATATGTAAAAAAAAAAATACCTATCAATTATAAATCTGACATAAATGAGTATTCTAATATTTATTTTGCTCTTTTACTCTTCCAAAAATGTCCAATGGTATATATGCTACTAATTTCATCATATATATATATATATATATATATATATATAACTTTTTTCTCTATATATATCTCTAATTTTTTATTTTATTTTATTTTTTATTTTTTTTATTTTTAAACTTTGAGAATTTGTACCATAAGGATTTAAATTTTTTGAGATTTCATTTTATTGTTTTGTACTAAATATTTTTTTTCTTTATTTTATTTTATTTTTGTACCAACACGGTTAACACGAAAAAAATAAATAAATAAATAAATAAATCACAATATCGATGTATCCTTTTCTTCCTTTTTGCGGAGTTGGTACTACTTCAACTTCATCATTGTCTGCAGCTTAAAGAGATTTTGGGGGACAAAGGCAGTTAGTTGTCAGCTACTGATGTATCTTTACTTTTCTTTTATACCGACGTCATTCAATAGTGTCATTTTCGGTCATTTTATAAAATTATTTATTTTTATATATTTTATAAAATAGTTTCGTAATAGTTTGTCAAGGAATCTATTTGCATCAAATTAAAACTTTAAAGATATTTTTTGCATACAAAGAACATTCTCCAATAATGTCTTTTTGGATCATTTTATAAAATTATTTAAAATTAAAATTTAGCGAATGCACGAGGAAGCTGTAATATGCCCTGCAAATAATGTTTTATGTACTTTAACCCTATTAAAGTACAAGATATAATGAGAATAAAATATATAACATACTACTAAACTGAACAAGTCACAGCAACTAGAAAGTACTTCCACATAGTCCAAGTTAGGGTAACACCGGCAGACTTAAATTGAAAAAAAGTACTTTGTCATGACCCCAAAATCAAAATTGGCCCGTTTGGGGCAAACCCTGTCAAGGTGGAAATTTATGCCATTACTCATGGTTCTCTTTTTTTTCACAATACTTAAAACATAAAACAAAATGAGGACTAAAATTTCCTCCCATGAGTATATACCTAACATATTTTAGTAACATATCATAATATATAATAATAATTTAATAAATTTAGAGTATATGAAATTTTCAAAACGACCCTCAGCCCGCCCCATTTACATGATCAGTTCTCTAAAACCATCCCAACAGGGCAGGCCCCGCCGGGTAGAAATTTTTGACATCCCTGCTACCAACTATTTCCAGGTTGGAAAAAACGAAATATATCAAGATAATTTGTTCATAATTCAAAAAAGGGATTTCCACAACAAAAAAAAAAGAAAAAAAAAAGAAGAAGATACCAAACAGCTTTTAATTTATTCGGGTACAAAAAAAAAAAAAAACATATCATCAAGAATCTGTAGTGGCGTTTCACAAAGACAACAAAATTTGAGAGTAATCAATAGAGATTGTAAATGAACATATAATCCAGAATTGTATCACCCACTACAAACAAAGCCATTCAGCCTTTAAATAAAAATACTCCTAGTCAGGAATCTACCAAAATTGCCTTCAAAACCTCAAAAGTAAGACCAGTAAGGACAAACACAATAGAAGAAAAAAGAACCCAATGATCTAATAATCAAATCAAAACACATATCAAACTTTGTAACAAGTCCCATTCCTTTTCTCTTCATCTTTCTAAGCTGACCTTTACCATCATCACCCTTGCACAACACCATTGCCTTCGGCAGCTTCAACAGCCCCATACTCCATTTTGTCAGCGCTACACCAGAAGGAAACAACTATTAGTTTCACAAAAAACATCTAAGACAGTTTAAAACTCTAATATTTAGAGATATAATACCATTTTCTAATAACGGAAACCTAGGACTATAACCTTTTTCAGGGTTCTAAAAACCAAATAGAATATCAACGCGGCATGAATTTGGTAAACAAAGATATGACCAAATAAAATTGCTGGCGCACCCAAGTGAGAAGTTCCCCATAATGCAAAAATTCCACATCAAATAGAGAAGTGATTCAAGTGAATAACCAAAAGAACCACTAAGTCACTTTTTTTCCCCCTTTGAGAGGTCTGGGGCAGAAGAAAATGAAAAAAACTTATATGTTGAATCTCACTGGCCTTGAAGAATATCAAATCCATAATAGATAGATAGATAGGTAGATAGAATCAAGGCCATAATATATAGAAAGAGAGAAGTAGAAGGCAGATAAAGTAGATGAAAAGTTGATGCTTCTTGTCATATAAACATTATAAAAGAAGGCAAGTTTTTCCTTCTCAAAACTGCATGAAAGCAAACTATTGAGAAAAAAGAGATTCTGCTTTTACAGCACACGTTCTTAAGCACTGAAGAACACATAATTAACTGAATAAAAATCAACTGCTAATTTTCTGCCCACAGTCCTAATCTCTATTTTGCATCATATTCTCCAACAAATTACCAATATATATCAGCCTGAGAGAAAAGATTATGCATAACAACCAACATATATAGGGTTTCAAAAGATCAAGCTATGTAGAGTAGTAATTACCAGGCAACAATCAGTGCAAGGATTTACATAGAACCGATGGAAAGAAATAACCATAAGAAATCAACAGGCATATATACAAACGTGTATGAAAGCGTACACTTCTAAATGAGAAAGGAAGAAGCTGTTTACAATGCTGTTCACAACCTAGAGATGACTGCATGTAATTGTACTCAGAGATAGGGAAAGGGTTGCGCAATAACAGAAATTAAGCACTAGTCCGAGACTGCACCAAAAAGGAATTTGCTTGCCTCATGTATTCAAGTTCGCTATGAGGTCATATACAAAAATATTTTATGAAAAAAATAGTGTCACAAAAGTGCTACACAATAAAAACTTGCCTGTTAAGTAATTCATGTATTCAAGTAGGCTATGAGGTCATAAAAATATTTTATGAAAAAAAATAAAGTGAAAAAGTGCTACACTAACAAAACCCCTATACATATCAACCAAAGCTTCTTTGTATAAAGGATGGGCAATTCAGTAGTTCATAGGAGTGGGAGAGACATTGCACACACCAGCTAATAGACTTTGTAAAAGACACAAAAACTATTCCACCCATTCAAACATTCTAAGCTTAATAACCCGAAATCCCTATTACCCACATAATCAACATTAAAAAAAATGTACCCCACCTATTGACATTATTGATTCTAAGTTAAATTTATCAACATACAAAGAAAAAAATTATTCATTCTAAGCTCAAGAAAGACCAGTAAATGATACTAATAGAATTCAACATGAGGAAATTGAAAGCAAATAACTTGTATTTTCAACAATACATGTGCTATAAAGATCTTATTTTGCAAACCTTGATGGACGACTATCAAGGAAGTCCGGCTTCCTCCAGCTCCTCCCATCCCGACCTTCTGGAAAGCTTGCCCTCCCATTGCCACTACCAAAACTCCTCTTTCCAAAAGAGGGCCCTTCTGTGGTCTCCTTAATCTTAATTGACTCAAGTTTCTCATCAATTTCCTTCCAATCTTGACCCTTTTCCTTCAAAACCTCCTCCCTCGGCCTTGCATCACCAAAGGGGTTGGAAGCCTTGGGCTTTGCTGGTGACCCAGTGCCATTTTGCTGCCCATCACCCACCGGCAGCTTCCGGGGCTGCAAATTGAGCTTTGGCCTCTCACTCCCAACAAACTCTTCCCTCTTCTTACCCCAATTATCCGAATCAGTACCACCATTCATTCCCGACTCAAAACCTCCTCTCCTCTCTCTACTGAGACTATCAAAAGCACCGCCATTAACTCCAAACTTTCGTCCCTCCTCTTCCTTCTTCTTCCCCCAATTCTCTGAATCGGGACCACCACCATTCTCAGAACCTCCGCGCCTCTCTCTGAGACCATCAAACGCACCACGACTGGAAACATATCTCCGTCCTTCGGTCGGAACAAAGCTCTTATTAGAAACCCAACTCTCCGATTCGTCCGCCCTCGACTGCGAATCAAAAAATCCCCCCCTCTCCCCTCTCTCTTTCCTTTCAAATCCATTACTAAACGATGATTTCTTCGAAGCCCCCCAATCATCAGTCTCGTCAGCCCGAGAAGGCGCCAATTCTCTGCTCGAATCTCTGCCAAACCCTTCTTGTCTACGAGGCTCGTCAGAACCCCTAGAAGAGTTCCACCTAGGGTTTGACGATTCGTCTCTGCTCGAATACCTGCTCGAACTGTACGATTTGAACCCGCCGCCTCTGGACCGCTCCATTTCCTCCGCGGTTCTCTCACGAGGACCGGTAGGAAGCATCATGAGATCTTCGGTGGTGAGGCCTTTGGCTTGGTAGACCTGAGCCGCCTTAGGGGCACTGAAAGTGGAGAATTCGGCCAGAGATAGGGTTTGGCCCTTCTTCTTCTTTGTCTTAGTGGTCTTCACCGAGGAAAGGGAAGGGAAGTCCGTGAGCGCCGCTGTGTTGCGGAGGAGATCGGAGGCATCGCCGCCGTTGAAGTGCTTGGAGTCGTTGTCGGTCTCTTGAAGAAGCTCGTTTTCGTGTTCTTCGGAATCGAGCGCCCACGCGCCTGGTTTGGACCACGCACTTACAGCTGCCGCCATAGTTTCTCTCTCTAGAACTCTGTTTCTTTCTCGCTCTATATCACAGTGTAGATAGGTCGAGATAGCGTTCTTTGGCAGCGAAGAGACCAGTTATATAAAGGGAGGCTGTGGATTCGTGTCGATTGGATCTAACGGTGTAAGATGAAATTAGGAAAGATTTATTAGTACTCCGTATCCAATTAGAATATGGAAATCATGATCCAATAGACGGTTGTTGATGAAGCTTTTAGGTCCAAAAGAATAACCATATATATGGGCTTGTCAAGTTGACAAGCCCAAGCTCAAGCCTACAAATAAAAATAATAAATAAATTATTTATTTAGGTTTAACAAGCCCTGGTAGAGCTCGTAGAAGTCAAAAATAAAAAATAAAAAATAAAAAAATAAATATTTTAGGTTCTAAAAATATTTTTGTTTAGGTAAAATATTTTTCATTTTTATTTTGTCGGTGTTTGATAAAGATCTACATTGAGGTTGAAGTCGAGTCCATCAGCAATGCATGTAAAATAACTTACCGATATTTTATGAATAAATTATTTTTTTAAAATTTTAATATTTTTTTATTCGTAAATATTTTTCGACAACCAAACACCATAAAACAAAAAAATATTTTACGACAACCAAGCACCATAAAATAAAAAATATTTTACAACAACTAAACACTAAAAAATAAAAAAAAATATTTTTTAAAAAATATTTTATGTCTAAACAAACAGAGCCTTAATGCCATGAATATGTCAACTGTCTAAATATAAGCAAAAATTTAAAAAAATATTTTATGTCTAAACAAACGGAACCTTAATGTCATGAATATGTCAACTGTTTAAATATAAGCAAAAATTTTAGTAGAGCATGAGCTTTCTAAACAAATATGTTCATATTTGAGTACTCGTGTTTTTCTTTTTTTCTTTTTTTTTTTTTTCTGAGTAGGTGTGTTAGTGTATTAGTGTTCCAGTTTTCTTTTGTCTTCTTTTGTCTTAATAATTTAAAAAATAAAAAATAAAAAATAAAATCTGACTTAATTACTTTTTGACATAGTTGTGAACAAAGATGATTCACCCTGAAGTGAGTCATGTTGTCGACTGGACCTTCTTTAGTTGCGATTGAGGTGAAGAACCTAGTTTGCTCTTACTTGATGGATGAGTTATGGCTCTGCTCTTCTTTTTTAACTATTTATTAAAATTACATGAACCACCCACAATGTATGAGAAACTAATGAAAGACCTCTTGTACTTTCTGAAACTAATAAAGAATCCCACAAACTTATATCCATCATTTAACTATTGGCATATAAAATAGATAATAAAATATGATATATATTAAAAACATTATTATACATTATATAACTCCCTATGCATGTGTGTGTGTGTGTGTAGGCACTATTTAGGAGACTTGTCGATGAATCAAATTTTGATCCAAATTCGAACCTATAATTTGAATATAAATCGAAGATTTAATCTGATAACCTCTTCTATGATCAAAATTCGATAATTAATTAGCTAAGCAAATCGGATATAGATTATGATCAATCCAATTTGATAATAATCCGATCCTACATAATATATTATATAATATGTTAAACATATATAATATAATTTTTAGATATTATCAAAATCATTATTTTTTCCTCTATTATTTTCTCTTACTCTTAAGGTTTCGTTTGGTTAAGTGGAATCAATTAGAAAATAAATGAAAGAGAAAATATTTAATTTTTTTTGGAGTTTGGATAGATGGAAAAAGAAACGTAATGGAAAATTTTGTTTTGCATACTTTCCTATTTTCTCCCAAAACTTTTCCTGCACAAAACATAGGAAAATAATATTTTTGCATGAAAAAAGTACTTTTTTTTTTTGACATTTATATTTTACCCATTAACCTAATCGTGAAAAACTTCTTTCTTTATTTTTTTTATTGTGTTTCAAAGAAGCAAGTTCTTTGCAAAACAATTTTTCTTCATTTTCCCACAAGTTCATATATAATTGGCAATAACAACGTACAATCAAATCTCTCAAAATTTAGTATTGACATCAGTTTCTTCATCTCCCATGTTTTTTTTTTTTTTTTTTTTCTCTCTCTCTCTCTCCTCTTAAACTAATAATTAGTTCTACCTTCTACCTAAGAAAATATTATGAATACTTATTGTAAATATAAATAAAATATATTATTAAATTTAATAATCAATCATTTTACTATTTCTTTGCTAAAACTAGAAATCATAAAATACAAATTCATTTTTTTTTTAGTATTTGAAATCATTAGGGTAATTTTGGTATGTTCAATCACTTTCTTTTCACTTTCATGTTATCCAAAATAACAAACTAATATTTTCCTGCAATTTTCTTGAATACATTTTCATGCTAACTAAATGCAAGCTAGAAAATAACTTTTCTTTTCTTTCATTTTCCATTTTTTTCTTTTATTACTTATTTCCGTCTAACCAAACAGAGCCTTAGTGTTTTATTCATTAACAAAGAGATTAAGTTCTAATTTTATTTTCCTTTTTCTGTCTTATTTTATTTAGTTTTTGCTTACTATTATTTTTATACTAGTAATTGTTTGTCATTCATTCAATTTATTTTTTTGATATTAATTTTTTTTTATATTAATTACTTCAAAAAAAATTACACCTTATTAGATTGAATCAGATTATCAGATCAGAACAAATTGGACATGGATTCATTCACAAAATATCCATTAGGTTACGTGGGCCGGTCGGGTCGTGGAAAAGAGCTAGATTTATAAGGGAACGAATTAACTAAAAAGTTAAATCCTACTTATTTTCATGTTAGGCAAATAAATAAATTGGATGACATATTGGATATTTATTTTATGCTTTAAATAGGATGGACTTTATATATATATAGTTATTAGCCATGACATAGGTTTGTGTAATGACCCGGTCATTTTCCTTCTTTTTCATTTTTCAAAAATTTCTTTTTTCGTCTTTTCCCCTATTTCGTCCTTTAGTCATTTTTCATTTTTCCTTGCATAACCTCACTTTTTGCACTCGGATTTGATTCCGACTTTGCATACATCCATGATGTTTAATTTTCATGTATCTATATTTCTACTTTTGTGGAAAAGCATGTTAAATGTTTACTTTTTTTGTAAAGGGTATGAATGCATAATTTTTAGTAATTACTCTAAACTTGAGGGGTTTTGTGTAATTAGACAAAGTAATTATTTTTCGTTTTAGGGATCATTTTACAATTTAATTTGGAAGATATTTTCAAAAAGGACCTTTTTGCAATTTCTGAAAAATGTGACAAGTGTCACATTCCTAAGGTGCCACTTGTTAGTTTTGTGGTGGAACCATTTGGAGGCTTAATCTCATGACACATGGAGGGTGGAGATTTACCCATTTGTTGGCCTAGGATAGGAGCACTTGTTGGCATGGATGGTTGACAAGTGTAGATTTAATATTTAATCTTGGAAGCTTACTTAGATTCATGACAAGTGTAGACTTCATAATTGGTCTTGCATTAGTGTGTGTGTGAGAGGTAGTGCAAAAACACCTAGTGAGTGGAGAATCCCACCATTTTAACTTAGGGTTTTCACTTTTAATTCATTTATCTCTTTCCTCTTAAGAACCCTAACTTAGCCACCATTGGAGCAAAGCTTGACTTAGAGCTTTGACTTCAATTTGATACCCTTCCACTCACCTTAAACCATTAAGCTTGGAATACAAAAGCCTTGCCTAACTCTCCTCTTCATAACCGTAGAAGGAAAACTTGAAATTCCTTTGCTTCCCTTGGATTCAAGAGGGACAATCCTCTTGTGAGGTAGGGGGTGTTATAATTTATTTTTCTAAATGAATAGATTGATCTTGTAATGATATACAAGTTGTATGCATGTTCTATGTTAAATTAAGAATAAATGACTAATGGTAGCTTGCATATAATTCACTTTAGACTTGATATATGGCATGGCCATGACTTAATCTTTGTTGTGTACTAATTTGGCATGATTTAAATGAGCTTTTAAATCTAGTGAATTAATTAATTTAATTGATTTAAATTCTATTTAATTATACCATGCTTAAATTCCATTTTTTGACTTGATATATAGCATGTCCATGAGTTACTCCTTGTTATATATTTAATTGGAATCATTTGGACAACTCTTGAAATCTAGAGAAATTACTTAATTAGTTTAATTAATTTCTATCTTATTGTTCTAATGATTTAGTCATTCAATTTATGAAAATTATTGTGTTTTATCACATATCATGACTTGTTGCTCAACTTGTTGATTTTGAAAACTTAGGATATTATCAAGAAAATGACTTGGCTAGGACTTGGTTCTAGTATGGGAGATAGAGAGCTCCCTACACTATAGTGCACACTAGGGGAAGATACCCATGGGTTAATAGCCCTAAAGTGATCCCAAGAGTACGGTTTTGTAACGATCCAGTCATTTGTCTTCCTTTCCTTTTTCCTGAAATTTTACGAATGAAATTTTTTCGTTTAATTTTCTTTTCTGAGTTCTGTTTCGTGTCGCTTTGTGCCATCTCGAGTGTTCGGAATTGGTTCCTGAGACTCTTTTCCGTGAATTGACAACTTCCTTTGAGGACCGAGTCATTTTCACATTTTTTGTTTTTCGACACTATTCACTTTTCGTTATTTTCCCTATTTCATCATTTTCCCTATTTTGTCTTTTCCCCGTTTGACACTTTGTTGGCGTAACCACACTTCTTGTGTTTGGAGTTGGTTTTTGACTTCATGTATCTCCATCTTGAGTGGTTTCCACAAAATACGTATCTTTACTTTTGCAAGAAAGTACTCTGGTTGCTCCCGGTGTCCAGAGGGGCAAGGATGCAAAGTTCTTTGAAATTATTTTCTTTTCTTGGGGTATTTTTCTTAAATATCTTTTGAAGATATTTTATTTCAGGAGTTTTTAAGAAAATATTTTTGGAAGATATTTTTACTCTGGGCCATAAGTGCAGTTTTCACTTTTTGGAGGGACCATTGTGCAATTAATGAAAGTTATTGCAAAATGTCTTATTTTGAGCCTGGATCTTCGTACGGGATTCATTTTCACATTTCGTTGAGTTGTGTACTCTTGAAATTTCTTC